TTACAATTGACAGGGCATGTGAATGAGTTATAGAAGGAAATTTCACTGGATCTACAAAAAAACTTGGCTGAGCTTTTAAAATTTAGAAAGGAAATATAAGTGACAAACCTGGAGAAGGACCTGGATAACTTTTTCCTACTGGATTTATAAAAGAAGCTTGTTAAAACCTTGAAGATCTTGATGTAATGGTACAAAAATAAAATGAAGAAGAATCAAATACTCTGACAATATTGGAATTAAAGATTAAGACTGTTAGAAGTAAAAGGAAGAAGTACAAAGTTGGTGTATGTGATCAGCGTTAAAAAAAGAGATATATCTTACTTCTGGCTGCTGACACCAGGACTGAAAAGATGTTTTATAGATTTGTTTATAGATAAGAGATGGGACGGAGATAAATGTTTGTAACTTTAGAGAAAGTGAAGATTACTAAATTTGTTCATACTTGTTGAGATAAATGTTTGAAGTAACTTCTTTAAAGTGCTCCATGGCACAGGACCCGGGTACCTTCGAGACCGACTTCTGCCACCAATAGCCTCCCACTGGCCAGTTCACTCCCACAGAGAGGGTCTCCTTAGGGTGCCATCGGCCAAGTTATGTCGGCTGGCGACACCCAGGGGGAGGGCCTTCTCTGTGGGAGCCCCAGCCCTGTGGAACGAACTGCCCCCGGAAATACGTAAGATCTCCGACCTCCGGGTGTTTCATTGTGCACTTAAGACCCTGTTGTTCCGCCAGGCTGGTCTATCAACATAACAATTTTAAATTGGGTTTTAAATTTCTGGGGTTTTAAATTTGAGCCGAATTCATTTAATAATTTTAAACTATTTTAACTGATGTTGTCTTATGTTTTAATAGGCTGTACACCGCCCTGAGTCCTTCGGGAGAAGGGCGGTATAGAAATAAAATTATTCTTATTCTTATTCTTCTTTATATATTTCTTTTCTCTTGCTTCTCTTTTTTTCCCCTTGCACTTTTTACTTCTATTTTCTTTTCTTTCTGTAAGTTTAGTTTGCATTAAATTATATATTATAATCAAAATTCTTAATTGATAGTAATTGTGTTTACATCTTCTTGCCTAACCTCCAGGTACCCCAATTATACCATCTGACTTACTTCTGAACCTCTTTTTTTATATCTGCATAAAAACTCTTATACTTATTGCTAACAGGAATGCAATGTAGACTGGCAAATCATTTTGATTATTTGTGATAGAACTGTTTTAAGGAGGGTATTGTCTTGCCAGCAACTCATTAATAGCATGAAATGGATTACATTCCCAGATATCTCTTTACATTGGTTTACTTCTAAGTAGATGGGTAAATAATTGGGCTAAGTATTAGAATGCACGGAAAGAGTGAACACTAGGTGTCAGTGTAAGAAATGAGGGGGGGAAAACCTGTTGCTTCCAATCAGGTGGATAAGCTAAAAAAACAGAACCAGCTGTGACCACATTTACTTGTAACTGCATAATACTGTTAACAAACCAACCTTCCTTAGAAAACTGATTCCCAAACCATCAGGTTCACTTGAAATCAGATAAGTATTAGAAGCCGCAATGATTTCTCTCTATTAAATGCCACTGAAGTGGTTGTTAAAATAAAGCAAAATACCTTGTAACATTAGGCATTAATTTATTCCATCAATACTTGTCAAGGATGTATTCAGATGGCAGTTGACCATACCAATTGTAACTCTATAAAAGTTCCTTAATAACTGGCATAGGATTTGAGTATTACAGTTGGTAATTTGGAAAGTGTAATGGCTACTGATCAGATTAATTTATTTGGACTGATGCAGGACTGGTACGGGCATATGTGGTTGGAATATGTTTGACTATGCAAAATGGTCCAGCTGGAATGATCATTTATTGAAAAAAATAGAAACATTGATTTACTTTAAATATAACTGATTTCTTAGCCCAAGGATTGCAGTCTGCCAGAAGTTTAGCTTAGACTAAAATTGGCAAGTTTTTTTTAAAAATAGTTGCTTTATGCAGAATTGCTACTAAATCAGTATTAGTATCCAACTTTTTATTTCACAGCCATCATCACTTATTCACATACACACCTTCTCTTGTAGTTGCTTTCCTAAGTTAGCTACAATTTAGCTGAATTTTTTTTTTAAATGTCATTTTTATTTTGTAGGGCAAAACATAAATTTAAAGCAATACATAAAAATAGGTAACACTTTGAATTTTAAACATTCAGTGATGACCTTTAGATTCAAGAGATGAAAGAATGTTGCTGCTTTGGTTGAGAAAATCCAAGAAACTTGTGACTGAATTTTAAAATAACCCACAACTTCTAAATTTTATTTTTACTATGGTTTTATTCTCCTAAAGTATTTCTGTTCAACTGCACAGGTCAGGGTTGAGCACTTGGGATCCCCATAACCCCCTTCTCCACCACCACCACCACCCCGAGATAATTGTTTATATTTACCAGCAAAACAAATGCACAGTTTCTGCAAGGCATAATGCACCTGTTTTATCCCATTAAATCATTCTCAGGCCCAGCCAATTTCAATTCTTTGATGAGAATTTGGATGCAACTTTATCATAGCATCACAGAGTAGTACTCCTTAAGGTTGGATGGATGGACACATGAATATGATCCAATAAGCAGTTTTCAAGATCATAACCATAATTCGTTAAAAGTCACAATTAAGTTTGAGGGAAAAGATCACAGGGTGTCTTGCACACACAAAGCATGCATAAAAGGCTGATTTTGCTTGTGTCCAAACAAAATGTCAGGATTCTTCCCTGCCTTAACTGGACAAAAGAAGAGTAAAGCCAGTATTTTCTACAGCTGTTGCTACGAAGTACAAATTCCGATCTACATATAATAAACCTGCAACAAGAAAATAAGAGTAGCTGTCTCAAAAATAAAACCCAGAATTTATTTTTTATTAGATTTGTTTTATTAGAAAACTAAGAAATTCAACTGACAGTCTGTTTCAGGATCTCTCAGTTCTCTGGAGCTCATATTGGGGACACAGAGGAAAGATGAAGATGGGAGCATCCAATTTACAAAGTTTCCTCATGCAATCTGGAATCAGAGGCAATATCTATCTATCAAACATTTAGCTTATCAAACAATTTTGAAATTATTAACTTTGGAGATGGAAAGGAATGAGGCTTTTTAGTTAACTGCTATATATTGTAAACAGCTATCTTCAGGAAAAAGCTGTATCAGCACTTTTAAATTTTCTTGTTGACTAATCTTTTGTGGCATTATAGAAAAAATTGCATTTGCAAGTATCAAGTGTTCATTCATTGTAGTTAAACAGTGATAAATCAAGGAACAAAGAGAAAGTAAAACATGTAAAGTTATAATTCAACAAAATATGTACTTCATAATACAACTAAACAATAAAATGTATTTGGCATTAAACAGAATGGATGTTGTATTTTGACATTGCCTTCTAAGACAGGAGATAATTTTATTTTTATTTTATTTATTTATTTTATTTATCTGTACTAATGTTCCATTACAAAGAACATTCAGATATTTGAAATGTATGCAGCTTTTTAAAAAGTTGTTATTTGTTAGCTACAGAGCACACATTTTTATACAATTCTTATTTCTTGCATTATTATGTTAAATAGTAACATAACAATTAATGCTACTTCCTAATGCTCTGATTTTTTTTTCTTTTTACAACTCTTTAATCCCTTTACTCAGGGTGGAGTTGGAGTGGCTGAATGGAGCGGAGTATTTACTGGCCAGATGCCCTTCCTGATGCCTACATGAAGTTCGCAGCAGATATTTTCACTTTACACCTGATAGAGAAACATCTGCCACTGTTTAGGATTGAACTCTTAACCTTCCAAGTGAGAAGTGAGTGTCTTCACCTCTCAGCCACCACGCCACTCCAATTCCTAATGCTCTGATTTTCTGTCAAATAAAAATATGGTTTTGATTCAATTTCTGTGCCTCCAGACTGCTGTATGATTGGACCAAAACAGGTGTGTGTTAGACTGAAGATCCAATTCTTAACCAAATATTAGAAAATAATTTTTTTTACCTAGATAGTTTTTATATTTTCTTTACCTATTCATATATACCTAATGTGTTTTCTGGTCTACTGAATTAAGTATACAATTTTTTATTAAGCTCAAATGTTTAGCTATCAAGAAGATTGTTTCCATCCTGTGATTAATAAGATCCCAATGGGATAACTACTTCCTTTATTTTATCCAATTGCAAATTATATGACTTCTTTTCTATTTTGGTAACCTCTTTAATTAAGGTCCTCACAGGACGTTTTATTACTTTTTAAAACTATTACATAAACTAGGAGTGGCAAACAACTTTCTAAAAGTAGTAAAGCAATATTTGCCTACATTTAAATTTCTGATAATGAATTTAGCACACACATCATTTTAAACAAATCTAGGAGCAACAAACAATTACAACTCATACTATTCATTCATAAATAAAAATATTTAACATAATTAGTATTTAAAACTACAAGTAGTTTGCAAGAATGCAAAATATTTTTTAAATACTCTTTTATAGTACTTAAAATATTATCTAAGGCTAAATACAGATTACATACCAAACTATAATGGCAGCCATACTTAAAAATGTGTTCTACAGGGTGTCTTCAATGTGCAAATTTGGAACATGCAAACATTTATTTTTTATTAAATAAAAATATATCCACTTATCATTTCCTATATACTTTAATTCCCTCAGAATACTGAAAGAAGATATATATTGTGTTCACGGTTTTTTTCTCAATTGTTATATAGAGTTTTTGATGCAACAAGGCAAAGGGTATTGCACAGACTCTTGGTATCAGGCATGGGTAATATTTGACAGCTTTACTTTTACATTCTGAAATGCAGCAAATGGAGATTACCTATCCTGCTAGTTGTTAGTAATATTCATAAAATGAGCTAAATATCACTATACTGATCTCACTTTCTCAGATACAGATATTTCACTGAAACTGTTGGTCTTCTGTTTTCATTCGTTCAACAACAACAAAAACCTTACCAAATTGATCAGTTGAGTGTGGACAATGTCTTCAACCAATATTGCTGATTCATGTAGGGGCCTGCGAGCATCTCCTAAGGAAAACCTAAAGGACAATTTACTGTAATTAGCAAACTAAAATAAAATAAATGCAGAGAGAGGGGGGGAGAGAGAGAGAGAGAGAGAAGAAATATATAGTATTAAATAGTAAAAGAATTATTAGATCACATGATGCAAATAGATTGAGAAGAAAAAAAATGTATGTTAAACCTAAACCCATGGCCTTCATGGCCTTTACCCTGGGCATAAATCAGGATTTTAAGAATTCCATTCTGTGGGAAGAAAATGCTTAGGAGCAATTAAGCTGTCTCCACATTTCAGTGAGTAATTAATAGCTGTATCCACCAAAAATTCCTCCAACGTTAAAATTCAAAAGTTTCTATCAGCTTCCTGAAACATGCCATTAGTGTAAACTTGGTAGATTTAGCAGGATTTAGGGTACCTAGGGTAATAGGTACTAGGGCAATAGGGATGCAGTGGCTCAGTGGTTAAGATGCTGATCTTGTTGATCAAAAGATCAGCAGTTCAGCGGTTTGAATCCCTAGTGTCATGTAACAGGGTGAGCTCCCATTACTTGTCCCAGCTTCTGCCAACCTAGCAGTTCGAAAGCACGTAAAAAATGCAAGTAGAAAAATAGGGACCACCTTTGGAGGGAAGGTAAGAGCGTTCCATGTGCCTTTGGCATTTAGCCAAGCTGGCCACATGACCACGGAGACGTCTTTGGACAGCGCTGGCTCTTAGGCTTTGAAACAGAGATGAACACCAACCCCTAGAATCAGGAATGACTAGCACATATGTGCGAGGGGAATCTTTACCTTTACCTTTAGGATACCTAGAAAATTGCTCCTAATCCTATACTCTATAAATTTACTTAATCTCCATCAAAAATAGTGGTGATCCCAGTATCTTGTGGTAAAGAATAAACTGTAATAGCTTCAGAAGTTACTTGGGAAATATTTTATGTAACCTTTATCTATGCCAATTTTATCTATAAAAGGGGCAGAATACCGTCTATAAGATGTGAAGCTGATAAACTGGTGACTGATTCAAACTGGAGTAACATCCATTTTCTTGACTTTCTTCACTTATGTTTCCAATTACACAGATGTCCCTTGATGGGATTCATTTGCCTCCCAACTACTACTGGATTTATTTACTGATCCCTTCATCATGACAATTGTGTTTTTTGTTTCTGGTTTTTGGGTGCTGGATGCCCAAGCCTATCTGAGTCTGATTCCATCCTCTCCATGTTGTTAACCAATATATAATATATACATAGAAGCAGAAACAATGATTTAATAAAATAAACATTTCCCATCTGACTTGAAACTGCTTCTTTAAAGGCCTAATCAAGCAAAGGTTTGACCAGAAATCATAGCAGAATAACACTTTTAAAAGCCCTATCCAATGAGAAGCACGCAGACAACAAACCACCATCAGAACCCTCTCTAGAAAGGATAATGGAATTTTATAAACAAACACTGGAATAGACAATTACTATAGCTGAACCTCAACAACAGCAACCAACAAGGAGATTTCAACTCACCATCAAGAATCCAAAATCAGACTTGGAAATGAATGAGCAAGTTAAGAAACTCCTGATTGTATTTAATTACCTACTCATTCTTCTCATAATATTTGGTGGGCCTTTTATTATTTTCTTTTGTATACAAATGGAGTTGTATCAATAATTATTCAAAATATTTGTATTACTGTTTTTTGAATTCTAAAAAGCTTCCAGATACACCTAATAGAGACACAAAGGAAATTATTTCCTAGTGATGCAATTTTTACATTTTTTTTCAGTTGTCATATTATTGTACTATTGAGCTAATTTCTATCCATTATTCCACAGCAAAACATTTTTGCCCAGTGTGAAAACTTTTAACAGAAATAATTTTAATGGGGAAAAAATAGAGAATAATCATGAGCAAAATTTGGGAGTTGTAGTGAAAGGGCTGGCAACTCAGAGTTTTGCTCTTCAGCAATTCGTTAAGAAATACACAAATGTAAAAACGTTTATTGTTCCTTTGTTGATTTAGAGATAATGTATGATAAATTATGTTTATTGTACTTATGCCCATTATGCGTATTATAAATTGTTTATTAAATTGTGGAATGTTACGCATGAGTACATAGTTGAAGGTTGGTTGCTAAATGCAATCAGTGTAATATTAGTAGAATATCAGGAAGAATAAATGGAATAGTTAGTGAAAAGTTCAAGGTTGAGCAAGAAGTAACACAAGGATGTACTTTGTGCCATTTATTCTTTAATATATTTATAGATGACTATGTAAGGATTGCTGTGGTGATATTGGAACTGTGATAGTTGAGAATGTGCATATAAATCTGTTTTTGTATACAATTTTTTTTTCATAAACATGTATTTTTTTATTTACAAATAAAGTGGCAAATGTATCCAACACAGCTTCTTCCTTCAATCAATCTTTATTACAATCACAGACCAGCATTAGAAATAAAGGCATTAAAATAATAATAATAATAATAATAATAATAATAATAATAATAATAACAACAACAACAACAACAACAACAACAACAACAATAATAATAATAATAATAATAATAATAATAATAATAATAATAATAATAATAGAGAAAAATAAAAATAAAAGACCATCAATGGGCAGTTAGAGACTACCTAATTTTGTGTACAGCATAACAGAATTTGGGCCCATTCAGAGAAACTCCTTCATACTGATCTGATAATAGTAGTTGCATGTTAAAGAAGTCAGTATTTCCCTTTTATTTGTCAAGAACATATTAGATAATAAGTATAAACATGGTTTGGATACATTAAATAGATACAAATAAAGGAAACATTCGGACAGGGATGGTAGGCACACTGGTGCGCTTATGCACACCCCTTACAGACCTCTTAGGAATGGGGTGAGGTCAACAGTAGTCAGTCTTAGGTTAAAATTTTGGGGGTTTTGGGATGAAACCATAGTCAGGTAGTGCATTCCAGGCATTGACTGATACCTATTAAAGAAAATGCTTAGATAGACTATATGATGCAAAAAGGAGTACAGATCTCAAAAGAAATGTAATAAATACTAAAACAACTGTTAGAATATTTCCTATATAAGGAAAATAGGGACATTTTAAGATGCACAACTGAGCATTTATCAAAAAAAAAAAAAAAAAAAAGCACCCCACCCTCCGCAGCATTAATCTTCCAAATTCTAACTTATATGAGAGAAGTTAGACTATACTATGATTAAGGACAAATTTAGGCTCCTGTTGGACCTGCACAACTTAGAACTCTAAATAAAAACATTCCTTGGCTCCATTTGTTGAGAAAGGTATAGTTTATTAGAGAACAAGTGTATTGCAGTACTGCAAAGCCAGAACTGAAAATCGCACTCCAAATTCCCTATATTCTACTTTTCCCTCCCTTAAACGTATCTCATTGTCACGCCACAGTAACCAATCAGGTTCAGGCAAGATGTTTTCATAATGGTTAGTTCAAGCATAGTTTGGTATGTGGCCTCCTCCTTCTTCCAGCTGGGTGACCTTGAGGCAGCATCTTGAGGAGACACAGCATTTGCTTTCGTTTCCTGAAACATTCCCCTTTCCTTCCCCTTCCCCACAATTCATGGCAATCTGTCACCACCTAGTAGCAAAGCACAAGCAAGCATAAGGTGGCAGCTGACAGCTCCCTCCATGGGGTGAAACAATGGATGCATCCTATAGATAAATCCTTTAAAAATTATTAGGTGCAGTCTTAATGTCATAGTCAGCAAAACATAGAGCAAGCAATTAATGCCACAAAATTACTTGTAGCCTAATGAAAGATGTTTCTGAGGAAGAAAGACCTAGAAACAAACTTCAAAACACTCATGGTGGAGGAACATGTCCACCGTGAGGAATGTCCTCATGGTGAAAAAAGGCAATAAAGGCAATAAAGAAATTGCATTCTGTCATATTAAATATGGCAACTCAGATAGTTATCCTCAGGTTTTTGAGTATATTGTATGTGTGTGTGTATGCGTATGTTATAAGTCAATATAGTGGGAAGATGATTCTGGTAGCAAAGCAATTAAGGACCAAAGGGACTTGTGGTGTGGATACGTACAATATTTACGAAAGCAATATATTTTCCTTATCTATGTCTTTCTATGTCTTTGAGCAAACCTTGATGCACAGAAAATATGGCATGCAGCTGCTCAAGAATCAGTATTTTCTCATGTATTCTTTAAAAAAAGATGTAAAGACTGTAATCTAATAAAATCAACAATGTTGTGTGCTTTTGTCTTGGAAAATGATACTAATTCACAAAAGACAACCAAGGAAAATGCACAGCAATGAAAGCACCAGTGTTTCACATGCAAAACACAATGCAATTCAACCTACTTCCATAAAAATTTCTGCAGATACTTATGCATCTACAGAAACAACTTGATTGAAAGAGAAAGAGAAAGAGGAGAAACAAACAAACAAACAAACAAACCAGGAAAAAATCATCTATTTGCATAAAAAGGGTTTGACCTATTAAAGAAGAATGTTTAAAATACAAATTTTCCTACGTAGGTTGGTAGGTAATTGGGGAAATAATAATGAATAGATTTTTAAATAATGAATGGATCTATATTAAACTATAGAGAGCCAGTTTGCTGTAGTGATTAAGACACCAGGCTAGAAATCAGGATAATGTAAGTATTTCCACCTTATGCACAAAGTCAACTGGGTGATCTTGGACCAGTCACCCACTCTCAGCCCTAGGAATAAAAAGGCCATGGAAAACCACTTCTGGAAAAAGTTGCTAAGAAAATTAGAAACTTGCCTAAGGCAGTTGCCCAGAGACAACACTGACTCGAAGACAACTCTGCCCCCCACCTCCAAAATCTATTATGAATCTAGTAGCTCAAATACCAAGAGACCAGATATTAGTTGCACTCTAACAATCAAGCTTCTTTGGAAAATATTAGCTCCTTACATCCTATACAAGAAAGAATGAATGAGTACAATGTACTGATAAGAAATGTTATCTGACTAATTTATGGCTCAGTGTACCATACACAT